GCACCCCTCCCCTGCTTCTGGCCTGAGCTACTGCAGGCATGTGGCTGCATTTTTTGAATTAAAGGTAAATGTCTGTTCACTTATGTTTCAATTTAATCTGTACATTGTAGATTAACCTGCAAAGACTGAATCAAAAAGCCTGAGGTTGAATTGACTCTCTGTACCTAGCCTTAAGGACACATTTTTTTCAAAATACAATGTCTTTGCTGAAGGTAGTGTTACCTGGATTATAGGGACACTTGCAGGTTGGCTACTGATGAAAGAGGGTAGAGCTACAGCCCAACCTTTGATTGCTTACACCACAAAAGACAAAAACAAACACTTATCCCAAAGTCTAACTGGCTACCTGTGACAATGCAACATAGATTCCTACCTATACGGAGTGGGGAGACTCCAGACAGGAGAGGAGGATGGCACATAGGCTGGCAGCAGATCTGTGTGAATTTGCTGAATTCTCCATATTTCCCTCCAACCTATATTTATAGATGGCTTATTCTAATAAATGTGCTGCTCTAATTAGAATGTCTTTGTTTCACTGAAACTTTGGGGACTGAGTTGAACCAGTTCCTGTGGACTTAGAAGGTATCAATTAGTTGGGATCAGATTCCTCATCTTCCCTTCACCATCATGGAATGCTGCTCAACACTGTCCAGCTTTTCTTTTTCCTTATTTATAGCCTTCACTGACAACGTTGCTTTGTTTTTCCAACTTATCTAAGAAACAATAAAAATATCTATTATAAAACTAAATTTAATACATTTGGTTACTTTAATCATTACTTAAGGACTTTTGTGGATAGTCTCTTTTATTGGACTATCTTCATTGGTTAGGATAAAACTAAACAAGCTTTTGAATGCACTCTTCATCAGGTCAGGTAATAGTAATACTTAGCTCTTTTTTATATAGCTCTTTACATTAATTGAGTTCAAAACAGTTTTTGCAAACATAGACAATTACTTCAGCGAGGGAAAGCCAATTTGCTGAAGGTTTCACAACAAGTTTATTTTGTAAAGCCTGGGAATAGAACCCATCTATTTGATTATTAATCCTATCAGGTAAACCAGAGTAAATTCTCTTTGTTTTTTATTGCAACAAAATATCTAAGAAGTCATTTTACTAGCACCACTTATTGAAAGTTTAGCATTGGACCTTGAATTTTGTTGAGACTATTTTCATTTGTGATATGTAGATCATTGCTTCTTACCACTGATAAGAAAACTTCTGCAATAGGTACTCTGCCATTACCTGCCCCATAGGGTAATGGATTACTAATATAAAAATAACAGTTTAACTAAACTAAACTAGTTCAGATAAACTGTTACCTTGAGTTTAAACTAAACTAGGGACTAAATCCACAGAAAGACAGGGCTTTACATTGCTAACCTAACTTAGGCACTTTTACTCTGATTTTGAACATGGGTCCCTCTTTCCTCTATAGAGTCAATCCCATGCCAATGCTGTTAACTATTTACAGTTTATTGAATTAGAATATACATAAACATAAAACTAAATATCAAATCACATACGTATATTTACACAGTGAGCATTAACCAATAACTAAGGTCAAACCCTAAGTAACAGTATTTACCCATCACAATAAAACAATTTCAGCAGGCATCAACACAATACATTACAATACAACTTTTCAATTACAAAATATAAGGTGCAAACATAAACAACCTTAATAACATATATTTCCATAATATAGTCCCTGACCCATGGCAAGAGAGAGTCCTCCTTCCAATGGGGTCCCTAAGGGGGAGGGGGGGTTGTCCAGGAAGCACCAGGGGCCCCTTCCCTTAGGGCCTTGACTAGGCGGGGGGCTGCTCACCTAGTCCCTTCTCTGCTTTTGCCTGCCCCAAATGTCTTTCCCCTGTGGGACCCAAGGGCCCAATGAATTACATTTCCTCAGGTGGCGGTGGTCAGGGTGCAGCTTGATGGGGTCTCTTCTGCTGGAGTGCCTCTCCCATGCCACTGGGCTCCTCCCCACCCTGTGCCCCACTCTGGGCACTGAGGGCTTAGCTCCTCTCAGCTGCTGTGCCACTGTGGCTGGGTGCTGGGCCTCACACTGCAGCACCACTATTTCTCTGTGCCCTGGCTTGGCACTGAAGGCTATTTTAGTAGAGGCTGGGCCCTTCAGGCTGTGGCCGTCTGTCCTTATGCCAGGTGGCTAACCCAAACAGCCTCTGCTGCTCCTTGGCTCCACTCCCTCGTGCACCGCTTGTGCACCTCCCTGCCTGGCCGCCTGCCGGGGTTACTTACAATGATGCCTGAACTGCCCTGCCATGGCTCCCAAGGCTCGGGCCCATGCACCGTCCTGTGCACCATGTGGCCTGCTGGCCCTCCAGGGGTGTGGCCTCAAGCCGCTGCTTGGGGCTCCCAAAGCCCGGGCTCTGTGCACTGAACCACGCACTGTGATGGGCCCGAGCGGTCTCACACTGCTCCCAGGGCCGGGTCTCCACGCACCATCCCTGTGTGCCGTCAACAGCCCGAGCGGTCTTGCATTGCTCCCAAAGCTGCTCCTCCAGTGGCAGCTTCAGGAGCCTTGGGCCTATTGCCCACTGGCGGAGAGCTCCCCAGTTTTTCTTGGCTCCGCTCTTCTTGAGTCCCTTGCTGTATCTGCCCAGTGTGCTGAAGTCTGCCGGACCTACAAAGCGCAGTCTTCAATCAGGTCCAGGGGCTCCTCATCGCACCCCCACCTCTGAGCAGGGGTAGGGTAAGCCCCTCCCAGCCGTTACCTGATTGGTAGAAATGTTCCACTGATCCAAAGTGTCCTTCTCCAAGCTGGGCTTGCTGGACAAAAGCAGCGAGCCCACCACATATTGTTTTGCGATATCTGTCTACAATCACATGTGGCACATTTGTAATACAAATGCTTGGGGAGAGATGGTGGGTCTGCTACTGACCTGACATTAAAAATAATAGATCAAGAGTAGTTCCAGTGAAGTCAATAGAGTTACACTAGTATGAAAGGTGTTAGAGAGAGCAGAATCAGACTCAGAGTTTTCTTTTATCAGTTCTGAATTATAAATTAATCTGTTTGATTATGGTGAAACAGCATTGTTGATGCTGCAGAAAAACTTAGCAGTATTGATTCCTAACTGGAAATTTTTGAATGGTATGTAACTCTTCTTTTGTTGCACAGGTGATTGCAATCTAGGGACTTCTACAGACTTCCCTGATTGCTGCACCCTGACCCCCTGCTTGCAGACATGCTCTCCTGTGGGGGAGTAGGGAATCCCTTGCAGGGGTTTCCCCTGGGAAGGTCTATCCATCTCCATTCCCACCACACCCAGCTTGTAAATTTACATGCAGGAGAATCCCTCTGCAAGGGATTCTGTCAGGGCTCAGGCTCTGCAAGCTCCTATGGGAGATTTCCCCCACCCTGCTCTGCAAGGAATGTTCCTATAGGTGCCTGCAAATGCAGGGGTGGGGGCGGTGGGAGTGAAGGGGAAAACCAAAATGGTTCTAGTCTGCCATTTTGTTTGTGAGCGAGTCATGTAGCCAGGTCATGACCTTGCTGTTACAGACTGGTTTAAACTAGTGTTTTTCTCCAGTAATAAGTTGAAGACATGTGTAGACTTGTCTGCGTCGTGGCTAATGTTGATTGGTTTATACTGTTGCTATGCTTATGATGTCACATTTTCTATATTACCCCCTCACTGCCTATGTTCAGAGTCAGACCTCATGGCAAAATTCTGAATTCGGGTATGACGCTGACCAGGAATGCTTTCTTTATTAAACTAAGTCTTTAACTTCAATTGGCCTGTTCGTTTGAGCCTCCGCCCAACGAACCCGGGGACAAAGTTTTCCCCCTACAGTTTTCTGGTGTCAGAAGTGGGATTGCGGCAGAACACTGAGTTGGCAGTTTGAACAGTCTGGGGAGACAATTGACACCCGTGGCGCCAAAACTCAGAGCTAAGAGATCCTAATTAAAAAATCTCACTGAACGGGTCTCAGTGTTCCCTAGCCTGGACAAGTAACGTCTTCTCGGTGGTAAGAACTCCCTATGTTACTTTTATAAGTATAAGACTTAATTTATTTTATCTGACTGACTGAAAGATACTTTATTTGAAACTGACTGACTTGGGATCCTGACAGGTAGACTGTTCTGATTTTGTCTGGGGACGCCTAGACTTTTCTCTGTTTATCCCTTTGCTACTAGCCTCTAACAGTCTGTCCTGATAACTCTGATTTATATTTGAGAGATTGTCTTGTGTTCTTCCCTTGTGTCTGGTTCACCGGGAGG